AATAAGTGGCCCATTCATGAAATCTTTTTTTTTTCACCGGCCCGCCACCAGTGAGTCAACTACATTTCTCAATCGCAAACCACGTGGCTCTTCATGGACATTTGACTCAACGAGGGCCACCGTAGCAGCATCGGACGCGTCCACGTGATCTGCAGGTGAATATTTTGCAAACTCAAACAACAACAATTGCACCGCAGATACTTATTAGGCGTCACTGCCTGACAGAATAATAACGATCTGTATTTGCTTAATAAATTGTAAAAACAAAAATGTCACAAAAACCCCCCGAATAAGTAAACAATTGTTTGCCCCTTTCACCCGGAAGTGGAACGCGTGCCGCGTGCGGCGTTGGGGGGGGTGGGAGGGGCAGGTGTAAGTGGCGGGGGGAGGGGCGGGATGTGCTCTCAGATTCCGTAGTGCACACGCGCGCGACACACGCCGCTCGAAGTACAGCCGGCTCGCTACCCATTGGCCGATAGCCCCCCCGGGGGCGGGGAGGAAGCCAATCGGCAGCCGCCGAGAGTCTCGGGGCCCCTCCCCCTCCCCATGCGCGGTGGGAAATCCAAGAAGCCCCGTTGCACGTGACCCGGTGAAGATTGAGACCGGGGGGGGGAGGGACCGCGTAGCGCCGGGTCCCGTGGCGGCGCTCCCAGCGATCTCTGCCTCACCGCTCCGTGCCCTGCCCTTCCCCTCTACGCCGCCAACCCTACCCTGCCTTGCCCACGCTCTCGGTCTCGCTTGCCCTTCGCTAGTCTCTCTGCTTTTTCCCGAACAGCAGCCTCCCCCCACCCCGCTTTCTCCCTACCTTGCCCTGGTCTAGTAGTCTCCCTGCACCGTGACTCCTATTTGTCTCCAGTAGTGCTTCTTGCCCTGCCTTCCCGCTTCTCTGGGCTTGTACCTTCTGCCCTGGCCGCCTCAACCCACCTTGCTGTGTCGCGACAGCCTGGCTCTTGCCCTTACCTTGTCCGTCGCGGTCGCCTCGTCTCGGGCCAAGATATTCGCAAGGTGAGCAGCTACTCTCTAAGAGGGGTACAGGGCTGAGGTGTCTAGTTTTGGGTTTGAGGGGGTTGTGTTGGGGTACACGACAAAGATCATCAGTGGTGGAAATTCCAAATTTTCACGGTGCCCTCGAGTTGTGTGTGTATGCTGCCCGTGGTACTGCGTCACTTGGCGGCTGTATTAGGATGGGAAAGTGGAATGTCCACCACTTGGTGGCAGTTGAGCAGAGGTTGATGTGTTCGAATGGGATGTTTACTTGTTGATTTGATATGGGCAATGATGATGAGTTGTGCTTCTGTTGACCATTACTCGCACATAACGCACTTCACATCAACATTAGTCTCACTTAATCGCCCCTGAGGGCATAGCCCACGGCGCCTTGCGAGTGGCGTTTTATTCGTGTGATTGGATCGTATCAGCCATGGTCTTGTCACAATCCTTCTCGCTGCTGCACATTGAGTGAGCTTAAGGGCACATGTCCTTTGTTTGACAAAGCGTCACCGCCCTCGTCCCTTGGCCCGTGAATCCTTCCAGCGACGTGTCCTGCTCGAGCCCGCTTGTCTTGTTACAGTGTCAATATAACCTCACTGATTTGCATGTTTTCTTACGCGCGAGTGGTCCACTCGCTGTTTCTTGGTGTCATTGCAAGCATGCAAAGTTCCACGGTTCAGTTGCTCACGTTGCAGATTTCCTTATATTTTATCTTTCAGCGCCCACGTATCTTTTGAGTGTAATTAAACGAGCAGGTGCGGTGAGTGGGGTTCACATCCCTGAGGCAGCATGCCTCCCAAACTCTTTGGCAGCCATCCAGAGGAGACAAATGAATTCAAAAAGTCAACAGTGCCTCTGGCCTTTAGTTTATATAACAAGATATGTTGGCATAGAGCCATCATCTCTGGTCGAAATGTTGAAATCCGTGGAATAAGTTGAAACATACGTTTAATCTCCATATAGATTAGAAAAGTCCCATTGTCTCACAAATACTCTTGTTTTCAGAAGGGTTCTACATTGGGATGTTTGGCCAGTTCCGTGACTGCGTGTTCTAATGCACGTGATAAGAGAAACAGGAGAACACCAGTGTACACAAGGGGATAATAAAAGCTCAGCACAGGAATCTCCTGGGTTTGGGAGTTTTCCAGAGCCGCATGTAATCCACCAAACCATGCCTCCAATGTGCAGCTCATAGTCATGCATATCTGCACCCAGCTTTAAAATGAACTCGTATTTTAAACTGCATTCCAGTGAATGTTTTAATACATGTCATGTTTTAATACATGACATTTTATTACACTTTTGCATTTATATGGCATCTTAATGCGACTGCCTCTAAATCGTATACATATATTGGGAGATCGACATCAATGTGATCCTGATTTTTTGTGTTTAGAAAGAGTTGGAGGGCAGAATGCTATAGAAAGGAGAGAAACAGGAGTTTTCCTTTATTGTAAATGTGCAAGTGAGGACAATCGCTCATAGAACACTTTTTTATTAGTGTTTCGTGTGAGGGTTTAGGAACAGTATCAGAAAACTTGATTATCCATTGTAAATAAATGGCAGGGTGTACACAAACACGTTCATTTAAAAACATCTACATTAACAAAAAGCACGTGCAAAATTAACAATAGGAGGAAAATCAACCATAAAAAATGTACATGTGAGACCTAAAATAGCTATACATTCTCACCTGGATACTTGGAATGTCACCTCTTGAAGCACACCTTGCAATCTTTGGCTGCCAATCTTGTTGGAAGCAAGATGAGGCTATGATATCGGCAATGAAGTCACATCCGGGTCAATTCCAGGCTGTATTGGACAGCTCGACTTCAAATCTGGCCTGCCCAGGCGAGCACCAGCCCAGCAGTTCCAGCTGTTACTCGGAATACAATTGTTTTTGTGACAGCCCAGAATCCAGAACTCGACTTTCGAGGTGCATATGGACACAGCATTAGTATGATGCCTCGGATCTCTGGACCTGTCCACTCAATGCTTTTTAATTTTGATTTTTGTTTTCTATCTACGTGACTTTACCAAAAGAACCAAGAATATGAATTCCTGCAGTCACGAAGGTTTTAAGTCTAAATCTCTCCACTCAACTTTAGTTCCCATATTCGAAAATAAGAATCTCAACTGTTAGGAAAAATAATCGTTCAACGAAATGATGGGCGATGGGCAAAAATGGTTACAGAATGAAAGCCAAGGGGGAAGGGGGGAACCTGACCAAGAATGCTAAACAACTGAACTGTAAGTTTTTTTAATTTACCAGGCACACTGAGCTATATAGTTATTTTTCAGAAGCCACCTCGCCACAAATGATAGCTCAACGAAGTGCCTTACGTGGAAATGTATAACAGCCAAACACTCTAAACGCACGTTACTAAATGCGAGGGAAAAACCGGAGGACCGGAGATAAATCCACCCGACCATGGGGAGAACATGCATACTCCAAATATATAGGCGTCAAGGTTGGGATCGAACCCACTACTTCCTGTATTACCAGGCGAGGCAGTTAAACATGTTACCACCGTGGCGCCTACGACTACCACGGAAATGGAGCAGCCACATCGGTTCATGTGAAGGAGCGAGATGGAATGTGGCATTGCCAGTGACGTTGTAGGGAGGCTTTCATCTAGCAGTGGATTAACCATGGCTCATGATGATGCTAAGCAAAAGGAACATGTACAGAATCGGGACATTTTTATCAGTATTCGGTGACAGCCCAGTCACCTGTGAACTTAGTATTGTTGTGTGTTTGTTTGTCACTGTACACAAAACCTGCTGGTAAATGTTTTGTTTTTATGGCTTTGCATCACTGCTGGTTGCAACTTGGCCCATTTTTTTCACTGTATATAATTCGACGTGACATTTTAGTTTCCTGACAACAAAACGAGCCACTTGAGCGGGTTTGTTTCGTAATTTCCTGCGTGTGGGTGAGAAAACCATTGCATCACCTGTGAGATAAAAATAGATTTAAAAAAAACCCAACACGCATGATTATACTTCTCAGTCAATGCGACCGAACTGATTTGTTTTTCTTCTCTGATCTGTGTACCCATCCGTTTCAAACCCACCATCAAAGCCGTACAGTTCATCGATTCTCATGAACGTGAACTTTCAAGAGCAGTCACAGTTTTTTTTTAGTTCAATTATTAGTTAATTTATTTGGTATAGCCCTGTGAGCCATTCGGCTCTTGAATCGGGTGCAACCGCAACAAACAAAAACATGAACAAAAAAACATCTTGAAGTGATTATGTGACTGTGCAAACAGAAAATCCAGGAAAAAAACATCAAAATATTCCTGAAATAGCACCGTACACCAACGCTGTGTGCAAAGATCCCAGTGGGATGCAAGTCAAATAACAACAACAACCACAAGACAATTAAGATTAAGGCCATCAGTCTAACTCCGTACTACAATAAACAAAAACATGGCCAAAACAAAAAAAACGTTTTGGAAATCACCAAAATAAAAGCCATAAATGCAATGTAACAATGATCATAGGGACTGTGACCGAATTTTTAACAATAAACTACATAAATAAATTATAACGCCAAAATCTAGAGCCATATTTTAGGCCACTGAATAGCAGTGGCAGCTAGGGGTGTACAACTCCTCTAGAGCAGTTTTGAGTGAAGATCTCATAGGTAGTGATTCAAGTTGCAGTTTATTGGCAATAGCATTCCAGACCCTGGGGGCATCAATAGCAAAGGCCCTTCCTCCAGTTTTTGTACGGCAATAGGGAATGTGAAGCTGGTAAATGAGCGAAGACCTGAGGTCAAATTTGTTCTTTGAAACAGAGAGGAGATCCAGTAGGTAGTCTACGGAATTTTTTGTAAGTACATCGTGAATAAATAAGATCTGGTGCACAAGCCTCGAACATTAAGAGATGTTAAGTTTGACCCAATGTAGAGATCACAGTGGTGAGTCCTATATGGGCAGTTCAATGCAAATCTTAAGGCCGAGTGATAGATGGAATCAAGCTTCTTCAGTACAGTACTTGGGGCTGATTTATACACGATGTCACAGTAGTCAAGTAGAGGCAGTATGGTAGCTTTTATCAATTCCAAAAGGTGTACCGTCTCATCTCATGGATCACATAAGGCAAGGGGATTTACTCACGTGCTGCTGCAGCAAACAATGCCAGTGTTTCACATGAATTGCAAAACATGTACGTATGCATTTTGTACTTCTGTCGCACCTTACGTAGTCCAACCGTGCTAATCGGAGGTGCGGGGGAAGGACAGCAAACTCGGCACAAAAAGCAGTTCTAAAGAAATGCGTTTTCAATATATAAAACATTTACAGAGGCCATCACGGTGTCTTATTAAGATGCATTTGCTTCCTGACATGTTTATATGCTTAAATACACAGCTTACAACTTCCATCAGCTGTCTCATCAGCAGAGCCGAGTAAGTTAAACAAATACTGCTGGGTTGTCAGATGTCATTTGCAAGGTACGCCACCTTCACAATGGGGCCCTGCCAGCACAAATCAGTTGTGAATAAAAACTCGTTATGCTCTGTTGTGAATCATTATTGGTAATACATAAGGAATACGTAATTACTCAATACTCATTATAAAAACAATGTTGAATTGGTAAATTATATCTTGGCATGTTAATGGCTACAAAAAGTTGGGGGCACGTTTGCAGTGCAGTTCGCTGTTTAATTCAGTGCACAACACAGATGGGCTTAAGTTTTTTTAGACACCCACTCGGCGATGATGCGGCGATGATGTCCAATGGGGATTCGATACATTTACATCATAAATGCTGCGTTGGCACACGCTGTGTCAACTCCGCACCCACCGACAACCCAGGCACTCTTACTTAATATCCTCACTTCCCTTCACTCGGCCTCTTTTTTCACAGCAGGCTCGGCGTGAGACAGACGGAGCAGAACATTGCCGATCCATTGATTACTGTATTGGTTTGTGTTTGCACAAAAGTGTCGACAGGTCAGGTTTGGCTCACACGTCTCTGATTATTACAGTAGGCCAATGTTTCATGTTTACTTGAATTGAAACTTTGCTTGTCTTTGCGTCTGCCTTATGAAACAATTGTGTGCATATCTGCCATTCCTCTGTGTCTGATTAGACATTGGTGTGCTTGCGATGCACTCTTGGTCTGTCATTGTCTGTTTGTCTATCTGATAGTTGCTTAATTGACTACCTGCCGCTCTGTCTTATCCTCTGTTTGCTTGCTTGTGTCACTGTTATTATTATCATCTGCACGACTGCCTATTGTTACATCACGGGATTGTGGTGAGATGGCGTGTTGGCTCGGCGAGACCTCATCCAGCAGTGATTAAGCATGGCTGATGATGATGGTGATGACTGTCGCCATCGAATCGCCTTCCCCGTATGTCATTGTGTCGTTTGCCCGCCAGCTTTGCAGGCGTTCCCGATCACAGTGACTGGTTTATTTGCACGAGCTCACCACGCGGAGCCAAGAGCTCACTGTGGTTTTTGTCGTTGTCAGGTAGAGTGAGAGTGACGCACGTGCGGCCAGGATGAAGGATGAACAGCCCGGTAAGCTGCTGGAGACGCACGCACGTGAACGGATTTCCCACCACCTTCGGAAATAAAACCTGGTCGGATCGATGTTCATCAACTCCTTGATGCGATTTTTGTAATGGCTTAACAGCAGTCAGTTGAGTATTGAAGGTATTGGATTAGTTGGTACATGTTCCTTTTGAAAATAAAAATATAGCGAGTAAAATGTGGTGTCCTTGGGCTTGTGTGTTTAGAGCCATGTTTTAGTTTTGTTCACTATTTGCGCAAAGGTGTATCGATCCAAAGCAGATTCTTACGCTCCTGATATCTGCATTGAGTTTTTTTGTTTGTAAGAAATAAATAAAATTGTCCGGATAAAATGAGATATAATGTAACAGACATACAAAACAAGACAGAAAAGATGAGACGGTACAAATTAGACTAAATGGAAACAATATAACGATTAACCCCTGACGATTTGATCAATTGTCATGTTTTGTGGTCACGATTATACTTTTTTTTCCCAGAGTCGATTCCTTGTCTCGTTTGACTGTTTAATTTTTACTGCATATGTTTGTCTCGTTTGTCCTGTTTTTTTTCTTTCATTATTCAAACGGTTTATTAGCATATAACTTTAAAATAAATCATAAATCACAGATTTTTATACAGCACCATTCAACAGAGCCGGGGGCGGGGGAGGCAGCCATCGTTTACGCGTCTGGTGCTCAGGAAGATAGTCCGTGTGCCCTCAGCAGATCGGCTCACTTCTCGTCGTCACCCGAGTCGACCAAAACTTTCGCGACCTAATTGCCCAATTTTCTTTCGTTGAACAAGTCGGTCGTCACGTAATTCACTTAAATTGGCCTCGAAAAGCAGAGAGTAGCTGAGATTCGAGGCGGGCGAAGTTCACGAGCGCAGTTTGTCGTGAAAGTTGTGGCTATCGCCCCTTGTGTAGGCGCAGGGCTTTGGGGCTTTAACGAGGCAGCCAAGACGATAACGGGGCAATGCCAGCTGTTCATATCAACGCGCACGGTGGTTGGCGAAGTGTGCTTAACACGCGATTTTGGATTTCCGGTTTTTACTAGCGTGGTGAAACAATGTGCGGTTGTTTTGATGTTTTGTAATAATTGGATGTCAAAAAATGTTCCGGGACAAATTTGGAGGCGATTTTTAACAACGGCGCGGTCACGTCTTATTTCACTCGCATGCCATTTCTGTGATACCGCTGATAACCAAATCGTCAAGAATGTGCCAGTTCGTGTCATCTCGGAAGCTATGCAGGGTGGAGCTTGGTTAGTGCTTGGATGGGAAGACTGCCTGTGAATGCTGTGTGTTAGACTTGTGCTTGGAGGTGGCCAAGAGATGACAGCACAGCAAATGGACACTTGGGTCTAACTGTGCCGAGCTGTGAGCGTTTAGCCTCTGATTATACGCGGTGGGTTCCCTCCCACATGAAGCCAAACGCGCATGCACGTATGTATGTTGAACTTCTTTCCTACCGTACGTAGCCAACCGTGCTAATCGTTGGTGCAGGGAAGGACAAAATAAACACAAAGCATGAACACAATTGGCCAAACCGTTCGATGTAAGACCTTCCTGAAAAAGAGTCCTGAGGCTCGGCGATGCTTTCCTGCATAAATGAAGGTCATTATCATTATTAATATTGTTGATGAACAGCAACTGCAGAATTGGCATCTTCTTGTATGTGCAGCTGGGTGTCATTCTAATCTTGTGTATGGAAATATGTTACGGAACTGTTGAGGTCTGCTCGCCACTTGAGGGCTGCATCAGAAAGTTCGTGTCGCTTTACTGTTCCTGCTCCATTGCAGGAGAGTAGCCTCTACAGTGGTTTACTGCGTGCTCCATAGTTTGGGTTACATGGCCACAGTCAGGCTGTGCGGCTCGTGTCTTAAATTTTCCATTCATGAAGGAGTTGTACCATTGGCCTGTTGATGTTCTGATGCGGTTGATGATTAAACCAGTGTCTTTGAGTAATGTTAAAAATCAGGAGGTGCAATCTTTGCTCTTTTGAATGAGGTGTTTATTCTGGACGTCCATGTTGTAGCACTATTTGCTAACAGAGTTTTTTCCGGATGTGGGTGAGATTCTAGAATGGTGACAGCGCGATCCCAGAAGGGGGATCAGTGGCGAGGTACATTGTTGAGTCCTTAGTTGATGGGTAGGTGGTTGTCCTTGGCAATAGAACGTGTAAACTCCCTTGCAGTTTGCGCGATACCTCTGCGTATATATGGTGGCAGAATGTTCACCTAGATTATGGAGGCCAGGGTATTGATGTCGGTTTCAGTGTTACGATTCTGGTTATGACGCCCATTGTGTTATTTATTTGACCGTCTAGTTTCGTGTACAGAATGTGCAGTCTTCGTTCGTATGGCATGTAAGCAACAGTTTGTATAGATGTCATAGTTGAATGTTAAGGTCCTTCAACCAATCCGAGGTGGCAGTAGATGCTCTATGGATTGCAGCGATAGTGATGTGTTTTGATGGTTTGGGTTTTACCACAGTCACAAATTTGGCGAATCTTTCATTTTCCATTTATGGAACGTATACACATCTGCCATGCTGCGTATGAGCGTGGTTCAGTGTGGTCCACAGGCATCGTAAGAGAGAGAATCCTGTAACTTCCACCATCATTGGATTGCTTACTATATTTACATTGTATATAGTTTTGGTTGTTTATTATTATTACTACTTTATTAGTCATGTTTATAAAATGTCAATGCTTTTGTTCTACCGAACTCCTTTGTTCTACCGAACCCCTTTGGCTGGGTCGCCATTGAATAGAGTTTCTTAGCTCAATGGGCCTTACCTGCAATAATCGACTGGCTCGCTGACTGCCCAGGCTGACACAATAAACTCGCTGCACTTAAGAACCCAGGAGTTACAGGTAGCATCCTGGATTCAAACCCAGCATGTCAGTGGTGGTAACTCCCTAGCAACATTTGTTTTCAGTCCACACACTGCTGATGACTCAGAAAATATTAATCCGGCCAGAGTTTGTATGCTTAAGCGATGCTGCTGAAAGATTTTGGTCCAGAAGAGATTTTGGTTGCTGGACCAACACGTTATTTAATTTAAAATTTAAGGTAATTAATCGGAGCCTTGTAAGCCGATTATGTGTTACTCACCAAGGGCACGTAATACAATTTGGAGCAGCAGCAGCCGCTAGCTGTGTCTGCTAAGTTCAGCCGGTGTATTGCAGATTTAATTTGTAATCTTTCGAACGATAGAAAAAGTTTGGAGCCAAAAATTAACTTTAAGGTGAGCGGTTATCATTAGGTATGTAAATGACTCACTCGTTCCATGATTCAATGACTTTTGGTAAAGTTCAAGGTCACACCAAGGTTCGCATGGAATATTTGTTTGCCCTTGTGTTGTGCGGGGAATCCTTAGTGGAATGAATCGGTAGAATCTAAAATTCCACATGCGATCAAGCCTGAGAATCGATATTAACGATGAATCGTTGAGTAGTTGTATCTCAGGACCATGTCAGTGCTACCCTCGTGATGCTGAGCACTACATTTCCCGTAAGGAGCAGACTTCCGCTTGGCAGATCATCAAACCGCGGTAGTTTTTCCGTCCCATTGGCCACGTGGTCTGGGAAGATGTGAGGGCATTACAGCTGTCACGCTGCAAATTCTGCGATGCGTACGTGCGTTACCATGCGTTACCATGCGTTCCGTAGCGCAGTTGCTACGTTTCTGAGAAAGTATTCTGAGATCGCTCGTTATCAAAAATCATAGAAATGAGCAAGGTTGGCTGCAATTGAACTCCGGCACACTGTCTGTGTGTTGTATTGATCACAGTCATAATTTTCACGTTGCGTCGGTATAAAGCCCGCGGAACTGCTGTACTTTAGACTTTAATTGCCCGAAGGCCGTGCTGCCGGTGTTTCTGCTCCTCCGGAAAACGTGAGGGTGTGCGACTGGCCATGCCGGTGAACGCAGAGCAGGCGACGGGCACTCTTTCAACTCGCGTTGCTGTCACGGCTCCTGAGCGACGAGGAGTTATTGTTAAGTGAACCGGCAGCCAGTCGTGGTTCGGGAGGCTCAAAGGGGGCGGAGCCAAGGGCTTTGAAGTGCACCACGTGACCCACCGTGCCATGCACCACGTGACGCGCAATGTGCCACGCGACGCTCTGCGTGACCCATTCCGTCTCAACGCGACGCGCCACGTGGAGTTCTGGTGAACGTGCGCGGGGTTTCACCACGCCACCGGTTTTGTGTTTGCACTGTCGAAAAGTTAACTTTATGCCCACATTATTTGTTTATTATTAACTGAGGCATTGTTGAACATAGCACACCTCCTATCAATTATAGATGTAGACACATACAATTTCTATGTCTAGAAGACTTTGTTAATAAAGGCGACTTAGAGCACTTTACCAAAAATAACATTTGCATGAATTCCTAATACTTCATAATATACAAAATACAAGAAGACACTTAGCTTAAAATATCACCAAAGCGATGCCCCCTAGGCAATGCGATGGGGAGCTTGTGGAGGGGATTGTGTGCAGGGGTGTGGGTAGGCCCTTGGGGTGGTTCGAGGTGTCTTTTTCAGCATGCGTGGGATGTATGTGTCTGCGTATGCGGTCAGTGGGTACCTCGTTTAGCACAAGCACTGTCAACCCCCACTCGGTGGTGAATGGCAGTTGTTGTGTGGGTGATGGGCTTGTGTTGTGCATGTGCCTGGAGAGCGCACTGCGTGGCAAACCCGGCGACCCGAATTCAATTCCTGCTCACGGCGAACACCAGTGACATTTATCTGAACCAGTACTGGGCCTCCCCAAGGTCGACTCATCCTCAAATGGCTACCTAGTGTGGTGTATAAAACGTCGCCACTCGGGAGACAGTCAGCCAGATATGATGCTGGAAACCTACTCCCTCATGTACCGGTGCCGGCTTTCATAGGTGCTTGGTCACAGCATTTTCCCCTACGGTCTGTTAAAGCGATACGGGGGATCTTTGTCTTTTGTTTGTGCGTGCATGCAAGTCGTTCAGCGTGCGTGTGTGGTGTGAGCTGCTGCAGGCTGCATGGGCAGGGTGGAGATGAAGGAGGCTGAGGTTGGGGGGCCTCTGGGCTCCAAGCTGCATGGGGGGGGCCCCCAGCAGCCCAGGTACCCGAGGAGGATTTCCCAGTGGCGGAGGGGGTGAGCGTGGAGTTGAGCGCCAGCTTGCACACGATGGAATAATTATGCTCTTCTTCTCAATACCACATCGTTAACGTGTGCCGATTGATTGGCTGGTGCCTAATTATCGTGGAGTAATGAGACTCAGCCGTGCCCAATCCCTGGTATCTTCCATCGGCAGTGGAGAATCCAGTGGCGTATCCAGAGATTTACGTCGCAGCTTTGGGGACGGGCGGACAGGTCGCTTCACAAGGAGAGGAGCACTTGGCTTGAATGAAGATGCAACCCAGGTTTAAGGGTTACAGCTTGGGAGTGTTTTGGACAGCGACAGTTCCTTCGTGGATACGTCACCGCTGGCATGGGTTCCCGTGGCTGATTGGTCGACCGATAAGAGTGAAATCACCAAAAGGAATGACGTTTAATGAATGAAATTGATCGAATGTTTTTGAAGCGTACATTCATATTGTTCAACAACTTGCATTCCATTTTGGCTTCCCGAAACACGTTTGTAAAAAAAGTCAAATATGGCAATAGGAGTCACAGATTTTAAATATATTACAAAATTTATCAGAAGTTTTCTGTGGTCCTTATTGGTCAGAGAGCCCAAGCCCGTTTAAACGTAACAATTTTCTGCCAGATGGAATGCCATTTGTTACTGCATGCATGCTCGTATTCTCCAGTGCGGGTTGTCGCTGTGGGGAAATCATCTCGTGATTTTTGCTTGTTTGTAGTTTCGAAATTGATCCCATGTTTTGTTTTCACTATTCTCGTGACTCGCGGAATGTTTCAATCGTGGCCATTCCCCACAAAATCTGCCCTTTCTTCATAGCACGTGACGATTAAAGAGTGACTTGTATCAACAACTTCTCAAACTCTACTCCTCGTAGCCCCTGCCTCGCATAACGAGGCCTGCATTGATTCACCGATTAAAATCCATTCTTTCGGTCATGATATACGCGTGAAACAGTGTGCGTAAGAATATATTATCTTATGGTCGGGCATCCCCGGTCTATCCACTGCTGGATGAAGGCTCCTCTTGCAGTCGTCAGTCACATGAAGCAAAAGTCCATCACGCTCCTGCACACGAGCCAATCTCATCACTCCTCCTCCACGGTGGACATCCTCTCGGAGCATGGCTGATGATGAGGATGATGAATTGCAGAGTGAGGCACCACTATTGTTTGCTGGTATCGATCCTGACACCTCTAAAGGAGACTAGGCTGCGGGAACAGGAGGTTGAAAAGCCTTAATGCTAACTGCTCAGAAGTGGTTTAATCATCACTGCCTGTCCTCATAACTGTTTGTATGTCTGCTCATCTGCTCGTCTGAAAATCACAACTTTGCCTTTTGTTATTTTTATTTTGGAAACATAAAACAATCGTGCTGCTGCTTCACGAACAGGCTCGACAATGCGCTGGGTGAGGTCGGTTGTAAATCTAAACCTGTGACTCGCTCACCATGCGGTCGGAGTGAGTTAGGTCACTGAACCTTTCAACAGCTGAACAATTGGGCTGATTCTGCTGCTGCCACCCGTAATATAAAACGTTAAAGCCTTCTATTGGGTTACACCTGCTCCTGTGAGCCCATATATGGGTCCGTGTCCTCAGTGGTGTTCTTGCTCTTCACAGTCACTTTTTTATTTGGCATCGATAATAAAAAAAAATAGTGCGTGCAGAGGTGGCCGGGTGTGACAAGGGGTCAGAGCCGTGGAGCTGACACTGCAGAGATCCTGGGTTCGAATCTGAGTTTCAGCCAGGGGTTCGCAAGTGAAGCCTGTCCTTCCAATGAGTGCACACTAAAAAATGCGTACTAAACTCGAATTCTGCTCATGAAATGTTTTGGTTTGACCACTGTGCAGCAAGAAGCTTGGGAAAGTGCATGGCCCTCGACTTTGTGCTTGAAAGGTCAATTGGTGAGATCTCAGGAACAGCTCTGTTGCATCTCCTTCCATGGACCGCCCTCTAACTCGGAGTGATGCATTGGTCGGCTGGAGCTCCGAGTGGGCACTTCATCTCATGACGTCGATCGTACAATCTGAACATAACTGGGGGGGAAAGATAATAATGTAAATAAAATTAGAGAAAAATACCCATGTAACAACTCCTCTAATTACCATTACTGCACAGCACTCTAGGGTTTCTACTGGCCACTTGTGGATGTACTCTTGGGCGTGTCGTCCCCTCCCTTGGCTGCCACTCCGCCTTCAGACTCGACCACCAGTCAGCCATCATTGCATCTATGATGCGTCCTGCTCAAGCCCACGTACTTTTCTTTACTGTCGATATGATGTCTCTCAGTTGCATTCACACTCTGATCCATGCGTTCCTCTCCATGTGCTTGTGTAATTCCAAGCGTGCAGATGATTACAGTGCTCGTCAAAGTGGCCGAAATTTATATTGGAAATCGTGGAACCGCCCACAATGTTGGGACAGTTCACCCCTACTTGCAGTGCTGCTTTTTGGCACAGTGACGGTGCCGTGATGATTAACGCTCCTTGTGATGATCATCGTGAAGGGATGTCCTGATTACACGCACACCTGTGTCAGCCACGCGATGTGCTTTTTTTAATTCCAGGTAAGGTATTTTACAACTTATCTGATGCTCGACAGAATGAACAGTGCTGCCAAGGTAGATGAAGACGAGCAATCTGGCAGACAGTGACATGAAGACAGATGGACCACACAGGCAGACGTGCAAGCAGATCTGCAGGCAGTGACATACTGACTTGACGAATGGACAGGCGGGGGTGGGGGGGGTAACAGACGTTTATTGACACACAGGGCACACAGACTTGATTGGTTGATTTTTTTTATTTACGTGGGTAGGAAACATTCAGGTTTAAGCAGTTGTACAAGAACGACTCACGGTGACAGAGTGGCTGACAGAGAGATAGGCAGACAAATCACTTTGCTCTTGCAGCAATAACAAGGGACACTTGCGTCTTTTTTTTTCCTCCTTGCCAAGGCCCCCTTGAAAATGCTACGTGCATCTAAGGGCTTATCCTGATAGAACAAAGATAATTATCAATGAAAACACATTCAATGGGATTGACGTTTTTTCTCCCAACGTTGCCCCCCCCCCCCACCCTCCCTCTCTATCCCCTCTGCCCCCACCCGCTCCCCGACCAGGCGAGGCGGACGGGGTGCTCAGCGATGGAGTCAGCAGCTACAACAGCCTCGACTCTCCGCAGCGGTCGCAGCCGGAGCCGCACGAGAGCAGCGACGCCCCCGCCGAGATGTCCACCTACTTCGACGACAAGATCCCCGTGCCGGACGCTGGCGCTGTGAGCTGCTGCTGCTGCTGTGTTGGGGAAACCACTGCCCCCCCCACCTCACCCTCCCTCCACCTTACCCCCCACCACCTTTCCCCCTCTCCCACTGTCTTTTGTACACTCTCCAACTCGGGTCGAAGGCATTCATCAGTCAGATCTGTAATGGTGAGGGGGTGTGCGATGACTCTCATAAAGATGATCCAATATGAAATAAACTTTAGGGTAAAGTCGTGTTGCATTTGGCGACTTGCCGTGAGTGAAAATGATCCGAATTGATGAAAGGGCTGAACAAACATTGTACATGTACGGCCCTCTTATCAATGTATCTGCATGTAAGTGTTCATGTGCACGTTCATTCAAGTGTGCATGTGTGTATGTGTGTGGGGAGCGGTAGTTTAGAGGTTAGCGTTTGCGCTACGAACCTGGCAATTCGCGTTCGATAGGTGCTCACGGCCAACATCGGTAACGAATATCTGAACTGGTCCTGGGCCTCCCCTAGGTGGATTCAGCCTCAAATAAGTATCTGAAGCGGTGTGCAAACATCACCACTGGCGAGGCAAAGGCGGCCTGGCGTGGTGTTGGCCACCCACCCCCTCGTGTGCCTTGCCGGCCTTCATAGGTGCTCAATAACAGCACTTGTCCCAACAGTCTGTTCAGGCTACACGGGGGATCTTTGTTTTACACGTCTATGTGTGTGTACGTGGCTGTGGCTCGCTCAGGGCACGTTCAGCTTCCGGAAGCTGTGGGCCTTTACGGGTCCAGGGTTTCTCATGAGCATCGCTTACCTGGACCCGGGCAACATCGAGTCGGACCTGCAGTCGGGAGCCAAGGCCGGGTTCAAGGTGCCACACGCGTCGTGCGACAAGGGCGCCGTTGCCACGCTATGTACAAACATCCATTTAGGCATACACTCCTACACACATGCCTATAGACAACACCTACGGCCTTCATTCGGCACCAAGTTAACTTTTTTATTTTACAAGGTAAGGCCCACTGAGCTATATAGCTCTTTTTCAGAAGTGACCTGGCAACAAACGATTTCTCAACAAAGTGGCTTATCACTTGGCAATTTACAGCAGCCAAATACTCTAAAACACATGTTTCTAAATTGAGGGGAGAACCGGAGGACCTGGAGAAAAATCTACGCGACTACGGGGAGAACATGCAAACTCCAAATATACAGGCGTCAGGGTTGGGATCGAACTCACAAACTCTTCCATACCAGGCGAAGTAGTTAACATCTTGCCACCGCAGTGCCTCTAAGTGGCGGTTACATCACCACAGCGCTTGTGCCAGGTGAGGTGCACTTTGAGGCCACGTGAAATGTTGACGGCTCGCTGACAGGAGGTCATGGGAGGCATGCCAAGGTGTTATGGGTTAACTGATTGAGACATACGCCGATGCACACACTCGTGCATAACGGCGGACACACGCCTCTACACACGCAGGCACATACGCCCGTACACATACAGGCGTTCGCTTACAGCACTAGCCCGAACAACCTGTTAATGGCTACATGGGGGTTCTTTGTCTTTGTCCAGCTGCTGTGGGTGCTGCTGACGTCTACCATACTGGGCTTGCTTCTGCAGCGCCTCGCCGCGCGGCTGGGGGTCGTGACGGGTATGCACCTCGCTGAGGTGTGCAACCGCAACTACCCCAAGGTACTGCCGCACTCACCTGCACTCACCCGCACACCCAACGCTCGCCCGCACTCACACACACTCACCCACACACCCAAATTAAGCCACACACCCAACACTCACCCATACACCCAACACTCACCCTCACACTCAACAGTCGCACACTCCACACGGGCCTGCACACCCATACTCACCTGTACACATCGGGGAATATATATTTGGTCGCCTGTCTCATCGCACAGCATGCTCGCCACCGCTTCACCCTCGAATTTTAATCTTTGCCCATATTTAGAGACGATGTAGATACATGGTGGAATGGTGGCACCAGTGGGTTAGCGCTCTGCGCTATGGAAACCCGAACCGGTCCTGGGTCCCTCTCCCCTCCATCAATCTGTACGAACCAAGGTGTTGAAGTATGATGATAAAATACAAATTCCCATGACCGACATGGCATGAGGAGGCCTTCATGCACTTATAGATTAAGAACGGCTGGAGGTTCTCTTTATTGTAAATACTTATTGTAATTGTGTTTCGTTATCCTGCGTTCGTGTGTAGATCCCTCGCATCATCCTCTGGCTCATGGTTGAACTGGCCATCATCGGCTCGGACATGCAGGAGGTCATCGGCTCGGCTATCGCCATCAACCTCCTCTCCAATGGCGCGTGAGTGGTGCCAGCATGGCTCCCCTAGCACCGCGCTGCTTATTACTCAGTTTGGGGATGGCGCCTCGGTCTCTTTAGCAGTCTCCGCTCAACCATCGCTCAGGCGGAAGGGCTCTCACTCTCATTCTTTCCTCTGGCCAGCCAGCTTCCCTGGCCCTGTTCAAGTGCAGGGTTCTGGCCGTGGTTCACTGTCTTTTTTCTTGTATATGTGTGTGTCTAGGCGGCCGAGCATGGTGCTGGCCTCCCACCCTCTGGTTTTCCGTAACGACAGCCTTCATAGGTGCTCGCTAACCATACTTGCCCCAAAAGTCTTTAGGCGACATGGAGGATCTTTGTGTTGTGTATCTACTGACATCCGTGTGTGTGTGTCGCCCCCCGCAGGGTTCCCCTGTACGGCGGGGTGCTCATCACCATCGCCGACACCTTCGTATTCCTGTTCCTTGACAAATACGGTGAGTCGAAACACCGCTGCAGTGAGTTCTCAAAATACCGGGCCCATGCAGAGGAGCAGGGTGCCCCGCTTTGTCTCTTTTCTTAACCATACGAAGGCAATGTGCAAGCTGAAACCACCGGGAATCGCGAGCCACCATTGGAACAGACGAACCGATGCTACAGCGGTTAAATGTGCAATGCAATACGAAACGGGTTTTGCCTGGCACGTGACGTTTTCTGCGCAGGGTAGAAACGCAGCTTTTGACAAGGCCACATTGCTTTTCACGCTGTTCAATTGTTGAGCTATGGGAGTGTGGTTTAAAAATTTGAATTTTTGGGGCCCCCCCCCAAAAAACACCGCGTTCTGTTTGAGGGTTCGTATATCCACTCAAGTTATTTGAAGGATAGGCTATTACCAACCTCACCGGATGCTGCTGTGGCGTAATAGCACACTGGACTAGCAATCCAGAGGGCGTCCGTATCAACTCTCAGTGCGGCAGTCGAAACAATGGTGCCAGCATTTTAAATCTCTCCCGGCCTGGTTCACACAGCAGTAGAAAAGGCCCCACCACCTTTAGTCGATGGGCATTTCGCGTGCGGTGGGGGTTAAGTGTGGGTAATCTGGCCAATGTGGAAGTATCGGCCAAAAAATACTTTCAAAATAGCATTTTCCTAGAGCTCCCTTGAGTGGAAGCTCTTCTGGCAGCAGTGGCGTGAACAAAGCACTTTCAGGGTTCCACCTTTATTTCTACAAACCTCAGTTACACCCACACACTATTGCCTGCCCTTCCGCCCGCCTGCATGCCCTGCATGCTCATCAAGTTGCGCCTCTTTGTCATTGCTTCACCGCGGGCTCATCCTCTCCTCCCCAGGACTGCGGAAGCTGGAAGCGTTTTTCGCCGTGCTCATCACCACCATGGCCATCACGTTTGGGTATCAGGTGGGTGCCTCGCCGTTCGTGGGCCGGTGCGGCTCGTGGGCCGGTGCGTGAACCACTGCGCGGTACTGCACTTGGCTCTGTGCTCTGCTTGTCCGGGAGCACTGCCAATCGAAATGTCTCCCCTCCGCAAGTGAGCGCGAGGGCGGCGTCCAGCTCCCATTGGTCACTCAGAGCCAGTGGTGGACATTCAGCTCGTGTGCAGGGGACACGTGGATAGTTGCGTCGCGAGACCGTGAAAGATAGTGACAGCGCCAGTATGTACGTTTGTATGTAGAACTTATTTCGCACCGTACGCAGCCAACCGTACTAGTCAGAGGTGCAATAGGCCATTGTGCTGCAGTAGACAGATCGTTGGTTACGATGATGACGTGGTGCATGCCATTAGTGATTTGGAAACTTGTTTCGAACGATTCCAGTCATATCAGTTCTTATGTACGTGATGCACACAGCCAAGGGTCTGTTTAACCACGTAACAATGTAAATAACTTTTTGTGCTGACCCCCTCCCCCAGTACGTGATGGTGGCCCCGGACCAGCGCGAGCTGCTCAAGGGGATGTTCTTCCCGTACTGCGAGGGCTGTGGCACCCCACAGCTCGAGCAGGCAGTGGGCATCGTGGGTGCTGTCATCATGCCACATAACATCTACCTGCACTCGGCCCTTGTCAAGGTGTGAGCGCCCCCACTGGCAGCACGCTTGTGTGCCCCATGCCTTGTGCATCCCTCTGCCGTCAAATATATCTCTGTGTCATTATGTACCCGTGTGTACATGTCTGTCCATCTGCCTGCATGTTTCCCCGTTTCAACCAGTGGCTCCGCTTGTGTCTCAGTATATCCCCATGCGTTTCTGTCTCCCTTTGCGTCCCCATGTGCCTCTGTGTATTCCCGTATCTCCATTCACATCCTCTTATGTCCCCCCCCACACCTGCGTATGTGTCGTTCCATGTGCCCGTACGCAATCCCCTGGGTGTGTAGTCGCGAGCCATCGATCGCTCCAAGCGTCAGGAGGTGCGTGACGCCAACATGTACTACTTCATCGAGGCCTCCGTCGCCCTCTTCGTGTCCTTCCTCATCAACGTGTTCGTGGTGTCCGTGTTTGCCGAGGCCTTCTTCGGGAAAACCAACAACGACGTGGTGAGCACAGCTGGGACGGTTGGTGGTAGTGGTGGTGCTGCTGCTGCTGGCTGGGTGGTGGCGATGTTGCTGGGTGGGTGGTGGTTGGTATGTAGAGGGGGTGGCGGTGGTGAGTTGCATTCCACATGTAGTCAGCGTGAAAAGTCGGCGAAATACCATCTGGCGGGGGCTCTCGACTAAAGTCCCCTCTAGCGGAGACCCCTTTTGCTAGCAGTGACATGAATAAGCAATTGCAGGGCTGCACCTTTAACTTATTATTTTTACCCTTGTGTCTAAACATTTCGGGGACTAAAGGCGTAACTTCCATGCTGCCCCCCCATGCGGTTGGCGGCTCCGCACAAGCCGTCTCGTCCGTCACGAGGGCCCCTGTGTCATCGCTCTCAAAGCCGTTGTCAATTGAGCGGTTGTCTCTCCCGCCCCCATTCAGCGCACGGTGTGCTTGGATCACCACAGCCCCCACGCGGACATGTTCAGCAACGACTCGAACACGCTGCAAGTGGACATCTACAAGGGGGTGAGGCTCCACCCGTCATGCTGCCGCATCCCGGCCACCTGGATCCATCGACGGCGTGAATTCCCCGTCCGCCAGCCGTTGCCGTGCGGTGCTATTAACACAACTAGCGCTGCACGCGCATTTTTAACTTTAAGCGCGGTGACGTCATCATTCAGCCCTATAGGGTGATGGCACCGTGGCGAAGCCATAGGCGTTGTTTAAAGGAATCGATGTGTTAGTTTGTTGTCCTTTTCCCGCACCACCGATTTGCACGGTTGGCTACGTACGGTGCGAAACATACATACGTGTTGTATAATTCAATTTTGCATGGGTGTGACACTTCTGACCACTGGAGGGCACCACGTTCACCTGGATGTTAAACAGAGGAATTGATTCACGTTTGGATCGGCATTTATATTTGTGTTTTAAATGTTTAGCCTGTTCACTGTCATGCTACTCGTAAGCAGCTGTTCTGCTCATTTTCATCAACTCAGGATGTTGCTGTTCAAAGCAGGTTTCCATCTAGAAAGCAAAACATTTTTTTTACCAAATGCACACTTTCAGTTTTGAAACCTGAGTTAACCGCACACCAGTTTTGGTTGTGGTTACAGAGTAAACGGTGTTAGTTCAGCATCTTACCAGCATGCAGTATGCAGCGATGTCTTATGCATCAGCTAATGAGATAAAACCAGAAGAATGTTTTTAAACTTTCATGGTTAAATTCCACCCCCCGCCCCTCCCCCCCCCTAAAGAAACATCATTTTTGTTTCCCCCAAATGTTACTCTTTATTTTTCTTCATTCTCCAAAACTATTCTCAACTCTCATCTCAGATAGTTACAAGATCAGGAACAGAGTTTCTTGACACTACCTAAAGATATCCATGGTAAATTTTTTAGCTCCGGGCGTTTGGAGCTAGGTCAAAGGTCGGCAAATAAAATAACAAGATGACCCATTTTTGTTCGAATTCGATAAAAAAACTCGATATCTAAAGAGCACATGAATACAAGACGGTGGTCTTTAACAAATAACGTCACTAAGCAGTCCTTAAACAGCTGCATGCAGCTCTGGAGCTGCAAGTTGCCGACCCCTGAGCGAGGTCAAAGGTCATAACTCTTACAAAGTTCATAAGCAATACCATAGGTCCCTGGTTCTTTCTGGGCAGAAGGAGCCTGAAACTTGCCTCTGCATGACGAAACCTCGTCAAGTCGGTGCTCTGACAGACAGACCAAATGGGAGACGGACAAATTAAGGTCCTCGTTCTGTTAGTCCCTGTTACGTTTAGGTGTCTCGCGAGCCTCTGCTCATGCGCCCACTCCTCTCGTGCCGGTGCCGCCCCTCCCCGGCCGAGCAGGGCATCGTGCTGGGCTGTTACTTCGGCCCCGCGGCGCTCTACATCTGGGCTGTGGGAATCCTGGCGGCCGGTCAGAGCTCCACCATGACTGGCACCTACTCCGGGCAGTTCGTCATGGAGGTGCTGCGGGGGGGACGAAATCGCACCGTTCGGCACCGCTGCATCTCACCACGTCACGCTGCATTGCCATCTCGCCGCACTGTGCCGCTGTTGCGCTGCACCACCACGGGGCGCAGCGTCTGCTCTGGGCAGTTTGTTACGGGGGTTTGGGGTCACTGCATCCCACCGCAGAGCGCTGCGTCTCGCCGCAATGTGCCCCACTGCACCCGTGCGTCACATCTCACGTCGGTGGCGAGTGACACCTTAACGGGTTCTCTTGGCAAGCATTAGGTTGACTCCGCCTTAAGTGAGTACGTGGTGCAGATGTCGTAACACGAGTATTGGGGAGATTGGTCGGGCATGGTGTTTGCCACCGCAGCCCCTCGTGCATCGTACTGGGTTCAATATGTGCTCACGAACAGCCCCAACAGTGACCGTGTGCACATGGTGCCTCCCATAGGGGTTCCTCGACCTCCAGTGGTCGCGGTTCCGGCGCACGCTGGTGACGCGATCCATCGCCATTTTCCCCACACTGCTCGTCGCCATCTTCCAAGACGTGCAACACCTGACGGGCATGAACGACTTCCTCAACGTGCTGCAGAGCCTGCAGGTGCCACCTCCTCCCTCTGTATCTATCCCTGCCTCTTTCCCATTCATCTTTTTCCACCTCTCCACTACTGGTCTCCACTGCCTGTCTCTCTCCCATCTCGCTCTCCACCTGCTTTACCCCTTGTCTCTCTCGCATCCCTCACTCTCGCTTACCTCCATTCCACTGTGTTTTACTCGCTGTCCACAAAAAGCCTTGCAACCGCATTGATGCTCAGCTTCCTCGGCTTGTGTTTACTAAGATTGTTTTATGATAAGTGTGGGTTTCTCTGGACGCTTCCAACTCTATAAGCAACAAAAACGCTGCTCGGATGAGGAATTCAAGAACTATTTAAAGGAGGATCTCCCTGAAAAGAAGACGGAAGGAGGGTGAATGCTTAAGCGAGTCTTTCCCGGGTGAACATTTCAAAAGGCTCTTCTCTTCCGCTCACTCTGTCGCCATGAATTCTTGCCGGGGCTGCCAGTGTGCGCTGTCACCGGCTATCGATGTCTTCGTGTTGTGAACATGTCCTCTCTTCCCCCGCAGCTGCCTTTCGCCCTCGTCCCCATCCTGACATTCACCAGCTCCAAGAGCCTCATGGAGGAGTTCACCAATAATATGTGAGTGACCTCCGCATCATCACCAACCCCAGCGTGTCATCCTCTTTGCCCTCCTGCCTTTTTTGGAAATCGCGATAGAGGGAAACAAAAAATATTCTTTGTGAGATTTGGGAATTTTTGCGGTCTATTTATTATGAACAGTACTCTTTCTAGAAGGGTGGGTCGGAAAGATTTGTAGCAGTTTATATATAGATAAGGTGCAAATGAAGACTGTTGATGCAACCTTTACAGTCACGAGAGGTGCCTTATAAATCAACACCATGTTAACAATAGAAAATTAACCATCGCATCAAATCGTGATAGTTCGTCGAATTGTGACAGGGACGAGTAGTTTTACGCCTCAATGCCAGTGGCAGCTGTTTTCAAATCGTAAAATCGCCTTCGTGTGTCGCCGGCCTTCACGGCTGTATCGGCTGCCTTCCCCACTAACCCGCTGCCACCGATCACTGCGGTGCCGCCCGCGCGTTGTCGCGCAGGTTCTGGAAGGTGGGCGGCGGCATAGTGGTGCTTCTCGTGTGCTCCATCAACCTCTACTTCGTGGTGGTGTACGTCAGCGCCCTGGGCCACGTGGCACTCTACGTCGTCGCCTCCATCATCGCCGCCCTTTACATCGCCTTCATCGCCTACCTGGTGCGTGCACGAACGCCCGCCCGCTTGACCGGCCGCTATCCTACCCGCTCACCCGCCCGCTATCCAGCCCGCTCGCCTGCCCGCTAACCCGCCTGTTATCCCGCCCGCTATTCTGCCTGCTAGCTCGCTCATTAGCCCACCCACTAGATCGCTCATGAACCAGTCCGCTATCCAGCCCGCTTAGCTACCCGCTATAACGCCCATTATCCCGCCTGTTATCCTGCCTGCGAGCCCACTCGTTAGCCCGCTCGTGTAGCCCGCCCGCGAACCCGCTAATCCACGGAGTGTGGCTTTGCAATGGCGCAGTGCATCAATATCAACCTGGGATCCAACCCTTACTCTCGTCACCATCACTGTCTCTTTAAGCCCCTGCAATGTTCTTTGTTTGTCTTTAACTCAATTCTAACCCCACATTAACCCTTATAAATCCTGTTGGTAAGCTTATGAATGCTTCCCTATAACAAACGATGGCCTATGCCCTGTAGTTAACCCTCATTCTAACCCCACACATTAACTTTCTCCTAAAATTAGACTGACATCAACATTTGCTATAATCCTGGTCACTTCCATAACCATGCATTCTCACCGTACCTAAAAATCCTAGTTGTGGATGGCATGTCATTAACTCTTAATGTCTATGAACCTTTCCTGAAAACTCTCTCATCCTTACCACAAAATCTGATGTGAATACTTGCTCTCTATACCCTTAGTCACATACTATTACCATAAACCAGTAATCCTACTATAACCACCAGTCATTGCCCTATCCTTAACCCTTATTCTTGCCCCAGACATGAACCTTTACTGTGAGCCCTCTCACTCGTCCTTGCTGTTGCAAAATATGGGAAGCTGCTGTGGTGGGGGGGGGGGGGGGGGGTTAAAGAGGACGGGTGATTTTTGGAAGATAAACGTGCTTACTCAAAGCGTTTATCCCCCTGTCTGAGCCTCCCATTGTACTTGGCCGTCCGTTCAGAAACCTCCAAATTGGGCAGCTGTTCCACCTTTCAGACGCTTTAAAGATGTGGGCAATGGTTCGTTTCGTCGTGAAGTGGCTTTTTACCTGATCCTAGCGCATCAAGCAACTAGTAACTGTGATTCAGATGCAAATCATCATTTGTCCAACTTTCTTTTATTGGGGGGGGGGGGGGGGGGACGGGGGGGAAGTGCTCGTAAATCACCGTGGTGTTGGACGTACTCTGGCAAACAGACTTAATCTTCCGCGCCGGGATGTTGGTGCGTCCAGTTTCGTGTTCCATAAATGAGCCATGTTTTCTAAAACTATGATTTAAGACTGGAAGAGAGTAGGGCAAATACCTTTTATCATGCCCCTCTAGTGGAAGCCCTAACACAGCTCTGGCATGGGCAAGCAATTGCAAGGGATATACCTGTACCTATGAGTAATGCCTCTCAGACAGATGTCTTGTATGTTATTAGAATTATATTTAAATGTTGACTTGGACTAACAATTTGTGGAACTGCCCTGAAGTAAATTCAGCATTTCCCACTCTTTCTGCTTCGTCCGGGAAATGAGTGACAGTTTACTGTCTCCGCTGACACGTGTGCACGTGTGCGCGCGTGTGTGTGTGTGTGTATATGCGTGCGTGTTGTGTTTATCTTGTTTCCCGTTCCCGTCTTTGTTCCACGGCCCGCATCCCCCCCCCACCTGTCCTCTCCATCTGCCCGTCCGTGCGTGGGTGCAGGTGTGGCAGTGCCTGCTGGTGCTCGGCGTGCAGCCATGCGGTGGCTGTGCCGCGGTAAGCCGACACGGGGATTTCTCGCGCCAGGGCGTGCTCGTGGCGGACGATCGTTCGGGAGACGGGCCTCTCGCTCCCGAATGCAAATTGTGACGGCCTCGTGTCGTCACCCCCCCACCCCCTCACCTGCCCACTCCCCAGCAACCCCGTTTCTTCTCTTCTCCCACCCGCCTCCCACAACCCCTCTCTTCCCCGCCGACCCACCACACGGCATGCGCGCACCGGTCTCACCAGCGGAGAGTTCGTATGGACTCTGCCAGGATGGACCGTTAAAAAACAAACGGCAAGCGGTGTGGTACTGTTGCAACGGTGCGGGTTTTGCTGAGGAAGAAATGTAGTGTTTTTAAACGCTGCCCCGATGCTTGGCGTGATTGTAATAGTCCCTTCAGGACCACAATACGGATGTAACTGCTCAGTGAGTGTTTCCATTTTGGTTAAAGGAAGGTTCATTCCAAGAAAAACCCGAACGGCTCTCATCGTGTAGCTAAATACATAGGTCATCTGTCTCTGGCTGTGCAACATAGGATTTAATCTTTGTTGATAAGGAAAAAAAAAACATTTTGGGTCAAGTACTTCATTATGCCACTTCAAAGACATTATTGCAATGTTACTCCCAATGTTTGAGTTCAACTTCAAAGTCTGTTTTTCTCCTTGTTACTCAAGCTTTGCACATGTGTGGGACAGCCCAGGTCACATGGCCTAGGTTTGTAGCTATAAGATAAGAACTGTTTTATTGAGTGACATCCTTATATGAAATGTATAAATTTAAAAAAAGGATGCTATCAACTTAGCCCATAATCTTATATTATCATCTCCGCTCAGGGTCCATAAAATCAGTACCCACTATGTGGTAATATAATAGTCAGATGGATAAACTGGCCCCCATTATACAAATGTGGAATTTCAACCACAGGCATAGGGGGGCCGCCAGTGTAGATGAGTACGACCCACCACGTTGCTCACTTGAGCAGTGGGACACATTGACGTGTTCATTCACAACATTTCAGGGCTGTCTTTCCACCGGCTAGCCACTCGCAATAACCTGGCCAGAATAATGTTGATGCTTTTGAGTTGGTGGTCTGGTGATGTTTCCTGACATGCAACACATTATGGGAGGACTGATCCTATGGTCACAATCGCTCCTTTTTCCATCTAGAAATCACCCTTTATGCAAGCTGCAACTCTTGTTTCTAGCCTTCACTCAAGTCTCAAGTCTTCTGTCTGATGAGCATCTCATCATTTTCAGAATTGGTTCGGCAACTCGCTCGTTGGTTATTCCATCGTCCGACGTAACGTTTAATGCGGTCTCTCTCAGGCCACTCAGCCGCACGCACCCATGAAGGTGTCGGTGCGGTGAGGTCACCGCCCGTGCATTCCTTCCGCTGCCAATTTGGCAAAAAAAACAATAGTTAAAGAGTACGGATAGATCCTTAGTGAGGTACGGTGGTGTGTTAACTCAATTGCTTGCAGCCTTTCACAATGGCACGAACACTCACCGTTTTCTTGTTTCTTAAATTGTAAAGATTGTTAAAGGGTGGCTATGCTGAGGATTTTTCTTTCTTTATGTATTCGTTTCGGTGGTTCTATTCCCACTGCGCATTCTACACGAGTGTTGTTGCTGCTGCTGCTGTCGCCCTGGTACATGGTTGAGTGCGTGAGCGACGGTGACAGTGGCTGCTGGTGCTGCGTGTTGCCAGACCGTGTGCCTAGTGGCAACCAGTGCGTTGCCTACTGTGCTCCGTGTGATCAGTGTTTTTGTGCCGTGTTAAGTGCAATCAGTGTATTGACAATACAGTGCACGGCACTGCCTGTGTTGTTGTAGAGTGTTATTATTGTGCGCGTGGGGGCCTTTTGTGGAGGCTCGTTGCCGTTGCGAAGGTTTTTTTCACTATCTGTAGCATTTCTGAATTTTTGTTCTCATTATTACTCAGTCCTTTTTGCAAATCAACGATCCCTTGCTTTTAACAATGCAGTATCAGCGATCCGGCCTCAAAAAGAGGCACATTAACGGTTAATCCTAAAGTGTCTCTGCCTTGGTCTGTGCAGTGTTTACACTGATGTCTCACTTTACAAGGACCTTGTCTCTAGAAATGCTTCGTGGCAGGGAGTTGCGCTGTCTTTTGTTCTTGCACTACGCCTGATTTTTAGAACCAAATACTGTTTCGCACATGCAGTCACTCTCTACTAGCAGTGGGGAGTTGAGCGCTACACTAACAATTGTTTCAGGGAGAGCATTTTTTTATATCTGAAATAAAAATGGGATCCCCGAAAAAAAAACAGTTTGTCTTTTAGATTTTTTATGGTTTTGTTTCTCAATGATAGACGGTAAAAACGCAACAACTGATTGGAATTACGTCTTTGGTGTGGTGATTTGGAGGCAAGCGTTGGTGGATCACACGGATGTGTGAATTTCCCATGCCTGCTGCTCTGCAAGATTGCCCATAGATGAGATAGCAGTCCAGCACATTGGTTCCTAACCGATTGTTAAGAACCTTTGTGTATTTTACGCTCACGCGTGTGTTTTCCATGGGCACTCAGTGTTGGATACTCCTTAAAAGGGGGTCTGGTGACTCGGTGAATGTTTTCTGGATGAATTAATTATTTTATCGTCAATACTGGATTGTATATTTTTACGATTCTCTGTCAATACACTTGTGGATGAAGGCCTCCCCAAGTCGTGACATTCGTGGGGATCATTTGTGACCATATTTTATGCTTAATGTGGATTTGTGGCATTAACGCTTTGACCCACGGTGCCGTCTTGATCTTGAATGCCAGTTTGCAAAGGGAAATGTACAAAGAAACGTGGAACCCGTTCGAGAATCACTTGATACTGCCGTGGATGGGAATAAAATTCGGCTCGATGGAGTCGCAGGGCAGTGCTGCACCACCTAATTGTGTGTGTATTAGTATCAGAATATATATTTTTTCAGATGTCACTGCTGGATATTGAGTTGACATCTGAGTGCATGCACTTCCACTCGTGACTTGCACTGGTGGCTCTTACACTCGTTCATGGCTACAGGTTGTTGTGAATGTGCACAGATTGGAGCTGATCAATTTTCTTGAGCTTGCTGTGGAGAATGCGTTTGAGTCATCGGCCGCAACCAAATGATGCTTGCAAATACGTTCTACCTCTTGGCATAGACAGCATAAACTTTGCTATTGTTCCCTAACAATATACATCGAGAGGGCATCGCAAGCCTGCTTGGGAAATTTTCTCCCAGCATGCAGCTGCTTACCTGCCATGGCAACACCACCAAACCAGCCTGTTGTTCCCCAAACCTTCAAGCTTCCAACCTTTGAATGTAAAAAAATGTTTCATATGAAAACAAAAACCTGTGAACGATTTTAGTACCAAAAAAAGTATGTCGCACTCTGGGATCATAATAATAAATTAACCTTATGGCGGGACCCCGGGGTCCCGAATAAATGGAAGTCAAAATCGTAATTAGTTTATTTTTGGCGACTCCGTCCCACCGCGCACATAAACGCCACCACCCACCAGAAATCAATCCTCCAGTTCTTCACCAAGCACCCGGGTTGTTGCCAAAATTGCCGTAGTCATAAACAAAATTTTGATTAGCGCATCGTGTAGAGCTCGTCGAGAGGAATAGATTGCCGTATCGTTCGCCTTCAACAGACATATAAAATGACGTCGCAACACAGTTTATGCGAGAGCCGCGGGTTATGGGACCCTGGGATCCCGCCATTAGGTTCAAATCAGAAACCACAGCTTGGGTGATAGTGCATTTCCGAGAAGGGCTTTGTTACCTCCAACACTTGAGACCACGTTCTGTGGAATTCGAGTGAAGGTGTTCATGGTCAAGCGATGTTCAGTTTCATTTATTTGGTATAGCCCTGTGAGCCATTCGGCTCTTGAATCGGGTGCAACCGCAACAAACAAAAAAACATGAACAAGAAAACATCTTAACCGAGCAGAGCGGCAGCAGACGGCACCTCGAGCCACCGCGCGTCCACGAGAAGAGCCCGGTCCACGCTCACGAGGAATTGGCGGGCAACAACCCATTTAGAAAGTGTTTCTTTTGTGAACGGTTTGGTAACACTGGCGCGCAAGCAGTTTAGAAGAGGTGGGTTGGCATCGCTTAACCCGCTCGGGATCGGTGCACTTGCTCTACGGCATGTGGCCAATCCAGCTGTAAGATCTCTGAGCGAACAGGTTTAACCTCATTGTGTCCACTAACCTCTTCCAGTCCTCTGTCGTTATAATTGCCCTGGCAGGTCTGGAGAGGACTTCCCCGCGGTAAGGCCTCACTGTCTCTTTTGTCGTGGCATCATCGCTGTGCGCTGCCACGTTCACCGCTTGTGCAGCATCGCTACGGATCACGCATTTTTTTTTGTCACTGGCTGAGTAGCGATATGATTCCTTCGATCATTAATTTAGTCCTCTGCTTGTAATACATCAGCAGCAGTGGTTGCTGACTTAGTTCTGAAGGACCCCTCCACGGCCTTCTGTTGTTATATACTGTTATTGAGCATTTGGGAGTCATTCGCGGCACGAGAATAGCCGCATCCATTGAGAGAGGTATAATGGATGTGATGTGCCGGATGCAGAAACATTCCGAATCGCCGACTCGGACATACTCGGCTGAAACCGGGTGTATACCATACCAACGAGCAGACGAGCAGTGTTTGCATCAGGTGCTTAATTCTCACATCAACAAATTTTTGCTGTAAATGGCGGAGGCCAGCCAACAATGAGGAAATCTGGGCGATGGAGGGTCCCAAGGACTGGAGATCACGAGAGAGCACAGTCACGTGTGTACGTGCATGCGAGAGAGACCGTTTGATCACAGCACTTGCTTCGTCACCCCAGCAATCCGCTCGTACAGCACCTGACTTTTAGTAAATTAATGCACCTGAAATCAAAACGTGCGGTCAGTTACAATTACACGTCGTGCTTTTGTGTTTTCTGTGAGTAGGCTGTTGAAGCGAGATTATTTTTTGTTAAACAATGCACCAATAGCTCAGCATCTTGGCCCTTTGTCTTGTTGATGTGAGCATTCTTGAGGCTTGACAAGTCAGAGGTTCAGTGATCTCACCACTGAGCCAGATCACGTGGGTCCACGCTCAAAATAAAAATTCCCCCCCCCCCCCCCCGCTGCAGTGCCATACAGAGATATGACGGTGTGCTGCCTGCTATTATCGACAAAATTAAAGGATTGCATTGGCAGTCCCGTGCAATCATGAATTTTAAAAACGCCACCATTTGTCATTGATCCTTGCTTATGAGTTCAATTCCCATCCATGGCTAACATAAGTCGCAAGTGATGCCCGAATTCTTCCTTGCCCACCCCACCCCCGTCAACCCCACCACCCCGTTATAAGGCACTTTAATTATATAACGAGGAATGCAACGAGTTCTTTGGACCGTTTCAAGTCAACCCTTGAGATGGCTGCTTGAGACGCTCTAGTCGTTGATGGGTCATTTATCCAATTTGCGCCCTGTGGAGGCCACTTAAGACGATTGATCGACACTTGATAAATAGTGAGCGACTTGATGAATTTTATTAATCTCACCATCGGCACATTAAGCTGGAGTCACATCTTGAACTAATGGCCAAGGTTCATCGACATTTCCTTGGCAATTCTCCCTACTATTCGTGATGATGGAGACATTTTCTTTCGGTAAAGTCACGTAGAATGAGAATAAAATAATAAATTGATAAAATAAAATAACAATAATATTCTCATGACGTTTCAGCCCCAACACAAGCGGCCTTCATCAGGTGAAGGGACGAGACTGTCTGGAGGACAGCGCTTGTGTTGGGGCCGAAACGTCGTGAGAATATTGTGTTATTTTATTTTATCAATTTATTATTTTATTCTCATTCTACGTGACTTTACCGAAAGAACCAAAGAAGATGAATCCTTGCAGTCACGAAAGCTTTAAATCGAAAAGATGGAGACATTGTTTGCAGTTCTGCAATAAATTGCATGAATTTGAACGTTCGCCAACAACGCTTGAATCCAATCCTTAGAGCACTTAATGCTATACCCAGGGGACGTCCAAATATTTTGAGAAGATGTTGATTTTACTGAAGCAGAGATACATGGCTTGTATATTCATTTTTCAACACAATATCAATGAATGTTTCGATTTAGGGTCACGATTTTGAATCGACGATCTTAATTTTTTTATGGTGTGTTGATTGTGGCCGAATGTCGTGACTGGAGGGTCAGGTGAACCCATTGCTTGCAACGTGGACCGGTCCGAAAACATCGATTTGCACGTGTCGCAGATTTAGGTATCGGTATTGATCGCCGGATCATTGCACCCCAAAATATACTCAAAAAGGCTGTTGGAATCGCATTATCAAAACATTTTTTGGGCTTTTGCAGCATGATTCGCCGCTACGTTTTACTTTAGCAAGTTATGTACTTAATTTTTTTGTGTGTGCTACTGTGTGTGTTTTCGTAAATATAGTAAGATATTTACCAAGATAAATTACATGGGAAGACGGCCATAGGAATGTGGAATTTCCTCCACTGGCTCAGGGCAATCCATTGGAGATAACCATCTCCCAACATTTTTTTTCAGTGTCAGAGGCCCCTGGCCCTCAACATGCCAAATAAAATAAAATTTTACGGATATATACACTTCTACCCATGCAAAACAAACACCATAATGCGGTGCGGAAGTGGGGCGGGTAGTCGCTCACTAAGACTAACTACCCATGCGCTTGAGAATCTAATACAAGTGAAATTTTAAGTAGATGAGCAAATATTGCAGTGCGGCTGTGCTGACGATCTCCATGTGCGTTGTCCACAGCTGCGTCGCTACAGCGCCATGGAGGCTCTGCTGATGGACGATCGCAGCGCGGACGAGTGGCCTACCCAGGACGAGCGGCAACCTGACGACAGCCGGCTTCTACAGGATGATGGCCTGGAGGAGGACAGGCGCTCTCTTGTTGACCACCCGGAGCATTAGTCGGAACGCCAACACCTCGGGAGGGCAATTCCAACTGCGCTGCAGGACGGCGACCTAGAAGAAAGCCGTTCGGACTGGCGCCGCCACCACCGCCACCACCGCCACCACCGCCGGCGCTCTCATCCTCCTGCTGCTTTTCTGGCTGTGGCGGCGACGGCTCGTGCACATGGCACCGCCATGGCCGTTGCGTGGTCCGAGTGCTCGCTTGTTGCTGGTGGAGGCCGTTATTACCTGGTGCTAAGCAAAGGGGTGGGGAACCTTTTCCTTCCTGAGAGCCGAAGAGTACATTGAAATACCTTTGAAGGGCCACGCAATTAGTTATCGGACTATTGCATTGACAGTGTGACTTTAACTATTTGATAGACAGCACGTGACTCGATCGCCCAAAAATTAGTAACGTGCTGTTTGGCAGGTTGAAAATAGTACCCTCAAGTACTCAATTAGTGTGGCCAAGAATGATCGCAGGGATGGATAAATATCATTTTCGGGCCGTTGTTAAGCGGCAGGCTTCATGTGGCCGCAAGTCGTATGCATTGGAGTCGCGGGCTGCATTTGGCGAATGGGGCCGTATGTTCTCCACCCCGGCCCTAATCGACGGGAGACGCAGTGCCGTCGTGGGACGCGTCGAGGTGGCCGAGCTGTCGACCATTCAGAACTCTCGAGCGCCCACCTCGCTTCATGTAGCGTGCTCTCGTGTGGGCGTGTTTTTTTAAATCGTAACTAAAACTTTTTTAAGGTTCTTGAAGCACAATCGGAGGGTGTTTGCTGGTGTGCGCACTCGACCTGTGGGGCGACCTGCGGTCCTGGCTCCACAATGCTTTGCAGCCAGGAACGGTAATCGGGGCTTAATTTCAACAGAGTCTTATCAGGTCAGCAACCCAGAAAATATTCTGTGAGAAGTTAAGCCCCGAACATGAGCATTCCACATGTGCTTCTCCGTCTGTTATGTGGCCAAAGGGTTGACCGCCGCTTCCTTTTTCCCCAATGTCCATTAGTTGCCATTTGTCTTTGCCTGTCCGTTGGGGTCCCTCTGTCAAGGGTTTTCTCAGTGAGTTCCCTCCTTTAAGAAGGACTCATTTTTATAAACTCCGGGAAGGATGGTGAGCCCAGTTGACTCTTGACCCAGCTTTTCCCTTGCGACTTTTCTGTTTGTGAGTCGAGCGCGCTGATCACTGTGCTGCCCAGACTGAGCGTACCAACGTCAACAATGCATATCACCATAATCCTCTTTGGAAATCATCGATCCACTGCTGGGTAATGTCTTTCAGAAACCGTCGCTGTCACGCGATCCATCGACCCATCGAGCTCCTTCGCACAAGCCTCCCATGCGGACGTCCTCTGAGACGTGTCCCCTCCTTTGCTACCACGCATTTATCGTATACGAAAAACATTAAGTAATAGCTACTTAAACTTTGGAGGGTTAAGTTGGTGGGTTGTGCGCCGTGCCCTCTTTCACAGGTGCTCGCTAACAGCACTTGCCCCAACAGTCTGCTAAGGCTGTACCGGGGATCTTTGTCTTTTATAGGAGGGGGGGGCAGTACCATTGTTGTTTAGGTGCGAGTGCGGCAGAGCCGCTTGCGCCATGTGGCTGCACCGAGACGCGAAGTGCCGTGATCCGCCGATCGGAGAGCGTGTTTTGGTCGCACCTGAAGCCGTGGGCAGGACCTGGTGGGCAACATGGGTGGGTGTGTGTATATATGCGCACGTGATAGGTAGATGTAGAGGGGAGCGGTAGTGTCGAGGTTATCGTGCTGCGCTCCGAACCCGGCGACCTGAGTTTGATTCCCGCTCATAGCCACCGCGAGTGACGATTATCTGAACTGGTCCTGGGACTCCCCTAGGTTGAGTCAGCCTCAAATAAGTACCTGGTGCAGTGTGTAAATATCGCCACTAGGGAGACAAAGGCGGCCGGGCGTGGTGCTGGCCACCCACCCCCTCGTGTGGCGTACCGGCCTTCATCGGTGCTTGCTAACAACACCTTACGTCTGTTAAGGCGATACGGGGATCTTTGTCTTTGATAGGCAGATTATTATTATGATCAACACGAGTGCCAACACTAATTGATAAAAGAGTTCTACATAAGTAAGCATCCTTTCGTGTGAGTATTGGACATGTGTACGTGCTGCTTGGTGTGTGTTACCAGTTTAACAGCGTCGTTGTGTTTGGAAGGTACATGCCTTTGGAAGCTGTGCATTGTCTGAGGTTTTGGAAGTTTTGGCAGAGGCGTGCATTGATCCAGAGATGCGTTTTAGCAGGCGTCTCTTTGAGCCAGGTGTGTATTGTCTGCAGAAAGAGACCATCATTTTAATGTGATGTGAGATTTGTGCTCGTGCGAAGTGGTTTCCAGCAAGATCCTCCTTTGGCAAGGGGGGGGGGGGGGGGTGGGGGGTGATTTTCATCAAACTTTGCACCAAGATGGCCCCATCTGGGCGAAAATTTCCGGCCCAGGGGCTGTCGGCTTCCTTCAGAACGGACGTGTTCAGGCTTGCGTTGTCGTGGGGCGTCGTGGTTGGGTTCCGTGGAATCTCTTTTTATAACGCGGTTCCACGACGCGTAACATCGGTGACGGCAAAAACAGCTTGGGCGCATTTATTCCTTGCCAAATTGTCAATGGGATAAATTTCCCGACCTGGAATTCGGTGGCGTGTGAACATCATTGTAAGTGTGGTGGGAGGGGGGGGGGTCTAAAATATGTATATAAATATTTTAATGAAATACATTTTTTTTAATTCTATGAATATATAATTTTTTTTATAAAATGAATATCCAAAAATATGAGAGTGCAAGGTTCCCACTGGCAGAGCACGTGGTAGACCGGCAAGCCCAAGGGTCCGGGGTTCACCAGTTGTGTCGGCGGACTGCATGCTCCGCTCGTGGTTGTGACCTTTGTGCTCTTTCGCCTCGTCTGGCTTCAAGAGGTTTTACTGTGGGGGCTGTGTTTGCAAGCTGGGAAATAAGTATGGTTTAAGGGGGGCTGACTAAGCCCTGTTGGCCCTAGCTACCCACCGTTGGTGGTGTTCACCAGATTTTATGGCAGAAAGATTGACTTATCGTATGAGATCGCACTTTACACTTTGGTAGCTTAGCATCTCTGAAGTTTGTAGAGTTAACGGTTTTGAATTAATATGCGAAAAACATTTCCCCCGTTAATATATTGAGTAACAAATAAACATCAAGTATTACTCTTTTTTATGTTCACAGATACATTATCTACACAATTACTCGTTGGTTCTTTCGGTAAAGTCATGTAGAAATAAAATAAATAATAGAATACGACGTTTTGATTGCAACACAAGCAACCGCCATCAGGTGGGAATGCAAGCTCGGAGAGAGACACATATACAGAGAGACAAACACAGACACGGAGAGAGACATACACAGAGAGACATACATAGAGGAGAGACACATAGACACTCTCTGTTTGTCTCTGTTTATGTCTCTCTCCGTGTCTGTGTTTGTCTCTCTGTATATGTGTCTCTCTCCAAGCTTGCATTAACACCTGATGACGATTGCTTGTGTTGAAATCGAAACGTATTCTATTTTATTTCTACGTGACTTTACCGAAGGAACCAAAGAGTAATTCCTGCAGTCACGAAAGCTTCAAATCAAGTATCTACACAATGTTAAATGTTATTACTTTCCAGGCATGATCTCTCTCCAGGTTTCTGACGTCACTGGTGTAACGCGCTCAGAATCGCCTTAAAGGGGACCGCGTGCCGCATGCACCTTGTACCTGCGACTGCTGCCCTGTCGACGTTTGCTTTGAGACGGGGTCAGGGGGTCGAAATTGAGAAGCTTCCACCTGTCCCTCGGGAGGGTGCCCTGTCTTGCGCAGTGACGATGAGATGTATGTATGCTTGTTTACCCAGGGAAGCCTCACTGAGTCAGTCTCATGACACTTTTTCAGGAGGGTCGTACTAAGTTTATCACAGTAGGGGGCGATGATGCTACGTATATATGTTGAACTTTTTTCGCACCGTACCTAGCCGGGAGGTGAATTTGCATAATGTTTCGGCAGAGGGATGTTTGGCCAATGCCAGTTACAACGCATGTTTTTTTTTAGCTTAGGTTTATAATATATGGACGTCCCAAAAACAACACAACCTATATTTTCTTATTTATATTAAACTGATACAAAATCTTCCATAATCATGGGAACGTCATGAAACACTTGGCTGATTCATCATGGTCACCAAGCTGTGCACTTCGGCCAACTTGGAAGCAGGACCAGAATCGACGGCATTCAAATGAGTATTCGGTTCTATGTAATAAATAATAAACAGCATCCGGTATAGCAGTGACATTTTTTGAAATGTCGACCTATGTAGGCCATCCTTCAAAGAGCTGGACAGATGAGAATGTGGTACCAGATCTGGGCTATCTGGTGGATGGAGCAGTGCACCGGACACCAGACAATCGAATGGCCTCGGAAGTTCTCGGAATCGTATGTGGTCTGCTGTTGTGCTGGAGGAGGATCTGACAATTCGCGTGACATGATTCTCAGTGGTGAATCGTTACAATTTTATATCGATTTAATTACAAGTTTCTGAGAAATCAACAGGAGGCCTGTCCTTAATAGGGGGCCCGCGGTGGCGAGATATTATCTGCCTCGCCTGCTATACAGGAGGTTAATGGGGTCCATCCCAACCCTGACACTTGCATATTTGGAGTTTGCATGTCTCTCCCCATGGTCACGTGGATTTTTCTCCAGGTCCTCCGGTTTTTCCCTCCACGTTTAGAAACATGCGTTTGGAGTATATGGCTGCTATAAATTTCCACAAGTCACTTTCTTGACCTATCATTTGTGGCCAGGTCGCTTCCAAAAAAAAGCTATATAGCTCAGTGGGCCTTTCCTGGTAAAATAAAAAAAAATGTTTATACCCCCACCCCTCGTCCGGATAAGGCTTGTACAACAAACGTCCCTTGCCGAACATCTGATTGGTATCCTGTTAATGTATTAATTTATAATTATATTTATGCCAGTAGAAATCAAAATGTATTTAAGAATTAAATAATAAGTGCATGCTCTATGCACAATGTTAGACGCTTAGTGGAGAAATGATCTGCATAAAATCACTTTCAACACAAGGTCGGTGTTTTTGACTTTGCGTACATGTCACGTTGAGTCACATTCGTTACGGTTTTTGTGACATACACGCACAAGTGCCTGTAAACGGTGGGTACGTTTAAATTGCCAAACTGGTGGTGCGTGAAACCACTGGGTCAGGTCTTCAAATGGATGCCAAAGACATCTCAATCGATGACTTGACGTTTCTTTTAGTTTGGCCGGCAAGTGGCAATTCTATGATGCGTTTACCTGGGGGTGCTCATTCTCCCATAATTAAGAGAAATTCCCCCTGTACTTTTCTTCCCCCCCCCAATGAGGCAGCTCCTTGGGGTCAAGTTAGAGGTCATCATGGATGTCATTCATGCTAAGAGACCTCGCCATCATCTTTCCTTTTGAAGATCCCACAGCAGTTATAGTTGAGACGTGACTTCCAACGGCTGCTCACACTCATTCCACTGGTGGCGTTTTACACTGTGGATTTGGGTGCCCCCCACTCCTATAAAGTAGTCTCACCCCCAACTTATTATTCAATCCTGGAATCGCCACTTTGCTGGTGCACGGTGCTGGTGACAATTGAGATGCGTGTGTCTTTCTTGGTCAGAGTTAAACGCATTTCACGTCACTGCGTGCACACAAATAAGAGGGTGGCCTTAATGCTGAAAGTTATGTCCAAAGAAAAATGTTACGTTTAAATGTGGTGGTCAGCACATACCACAGCCTGGCAGTGAAGGTCCCGTTCCACCTACATACGTGCATTGTGGCCAAAGTGTTGTCTCCTTTAATAAATGGATGTGCCAAGACTGTTGGTGTAAGCCTGTCATTTAAAAATGTATACTCTCAACTCGGTGAAGATGAGGTTGACTTTTAGGACCAGCTAAGAGCCCAGGGGGGAGTGATGGTTAAGCGGTTTGGACAGCACAAACCCAGCAACCTCAGTTCGGTTCCCAGTCACGGCTAATATCCGTGGGAAGTGATCTGTACTGGCCCAGGCTTCCCTGCCTTCGCAAATCTGCACTAAAGTATGGTTCAAAACAGCTCCCACGACTGCCCCGGCATGGAGAAGATGTCTTCAGCCAACAGTGGATTGGCATAGAGCCGTATATTCATTTAAGAACCCCCAGACACCCAAATAAAAATTGTCGAGGGAGACGAGCTCATTGTGCCACTGTGGGACTCGAGTTCTAAGGGCACAAGACAGACTGCGTGTGGATTGTATAGTGGAGGTTTTATTTGCTTTGGCAATGTCCAACATTCAATAAAGGACAAACAAAGTGTAGTTATTTAATGTGTATATATTAAAATAACACCTTTCATTTTTCTGAATAAATACCATTTGGGAACCAGATTGCAGTGTACTGTGATTTTTGTATTTGAAGGTAAATGTTACAATACCATTTCAAGTTAATAACGCTGCCTTGTGGCTATACAAACATACCCTATGTACGTAAAACTCTTTCACCAGGGTGAAGTATTGCTACAAAACCCTTCAATACGGCTTAGCAGTAGATTGATAGGTGGGGTCCAATTTTTACATAACTTTATATGCACCAACAAAAACTAATGCTGCATTTCCCAGTGTCTGAATGCTCCAAGATCTTATAAATTGGCACCAAGCTTTCAACAAAAAAACAATTTTAAACAATGCACAGCCCTTTAATCAATCCACTGCAGGATGAAGGCCTCACCTCCTGTTGGTTATATGGATTGTCTCACCCTTCACCATGCTGATCAGGACAGGTTGGTTAAGGGCCCAGGACCAGCTTGGGCATCTCACAAATAAATGCAAGCTGAGGCTGGGAATCGAACTTTGTTCACCAGGTTCATAGCCCAGTGCACGTGCTACTGCACCATCCCCTCCCGTTCATAGCTTTTGTAAATAAAACATGCACTAACAACTTTTACCACTACAGGATGCAAGGCCAATACATCCATCCACAAACCATTGCCCCCCCCTCCCCCACCAAGCCTCGACACCGCCGGCCAGAGGCTTGCGTGCAACTCTGTAAGCAGTCGCGGCTAAAACCACAACCATTTCCTCAAGTCAATACCTCCAACGCCGAACGCTGGGAAAATGCAAATCATGGCTGCTTGCACCACATCTGCCCACCCTTAAAAAAATTGAATGGCCAGACGGTTTAGAGGTTGGCTGGCACTGCCGAGACTCTGGGTTCTAATCCAGTCAGCCACCTGTGATTAGCCCCGGGATCTCAAGTGCAGTGAATTGCTAGTTTCAGCCTGGTCACCAACAGCTGAAAAAGCCCCTCAATTAAAAAGTTGGTTCTGTATTTAAATTTGGCTAATTTACATCTGAGAAATAAACATTTGCTTGATTTCTACAATGAGCATCACTGTCTAGCAAAGAGAGTAGGAAAATGCTTGTCACCTTTGAGCACAGGTCACTTGAACGGAACTCCAAAGTAGTTCTGTGATATCTGCTTCTGCAGGCTATTGCTGCTTTGAGATATGTGCTATCATTGTCATGTTATAAGACATTCAATTTGGGATAAAATTGGTGAAACTAAAAATAAGGAGCCTTAAGATTTTGCTACAGTTTCCCCGACCAGCATTGCAGCAGTGATAAAGGAAACAAAACTAAAACATCACATGCACATTTATTCAGTCTGACAGCATAGCATAACAAGGTAAAGTATCAGTGGCATCAGTGGGATGCCAAAGAGGTTACGAACATCAAGGCAACATGGGACAACGCTCATTTGCTTAAATACAGCTGCGGCAATATACAGAAGTCTGCATCTCTCCCCACGCCAACGCAAACAAATATCCACAATACAATATTGCCTATTGTAGCTTCCTCAATGTGAAGTCGTTAATTTATCTTTACCCTAATTCTCTTACAATTTAACATAAAATGTCCCCATTTGAAGAGCCGGTGGCAATTTGGCAAGCGTGGTGGTGGTGGGGGATCTGTAGCTGCATACATTGCACGCCAGTCTCTTGGCTCCTTCACGGCACTGTCATTTTGGTTCGGTGGTGGTAGTTTCCTTGGGTTTGACGATGTACTCCTTGTACATGGAGTAGAGGACACCTGCGGACGACACGGGCATACGTCCCTGTGACTGACGGTATCGACAATATACACGGAATTGGCAGCATTGATAATGGGGAAGGCCTTGGAGGTGACTGGTCAGCACAGCAGGTTCATGTTGACCGTGTTGGTCGGACCACGATTCTGGGTTGAGGTACAAGTGCATCGCCTTTCCTCTCTCATGGGGTTTATAATAGTCATGCTGGACCACCGAGCCAGCTCCACTGAGATCCTGGCTTTAAAGGCAGGCTTCAGCCTTCGATAATAAAATCCCAGTCTCAAGCTTTAAGACGCATTGCATCTTGAAAAACAAAAAAAAGCATCATTCCTGTTGCCATGCAAAGAACACCGAGCAGATCATATAAAACATGTGCCACTGTGTTAATAAAGAGGCCTAGCGATGTTGTTTCTCTTACATATTCCAGGGACATTCTGACGATATTCAACTCTGGCAGTGAGAGTTACAAACTGAAATGTCCTTCACATTTCAAGTTGACTGTTAGTAGCACAATAAAATGTTTCGGGAACAACAAAGTTTTTGCGCAGTGCACTGAGCATTGATGACAACATTACGTCAATCAGAGACCTAACCATTTCCTCCCATCAATTCTACGAAATTATCATACAAAGCCAACCATGATAATCGGAGGTGTGGGAAGGACAAACTAAACACAAAAAGCAATTCAGGATATTGATTTGATCCAAGAATAAAATAGTTTTGGTTATGTTTTGACCATCTAATTCATGCTCTTTCCAAGTTACGTATTTTTACACCATTTTCTTGACTCAAAACAGTGCATCATTTAAACAAAACGCACACAACACTAAGTAATCAATTCCTCCATACACACACACACACACTAACGATTTGTGCCTTGTGAGTGCAACAATTGTGTGTCAAGGCGAACCTTACCGACAGTCATTGCACCGACCACGCAGCTCTGCGCGGCCACACGCATGTGGATCAGGTGTATCGACATCTTTGTGTCTCCGCGTGACCGCATCTTGTAGAGGCCGTACGCGACCACGCCAAGGAAGCCGCCGACGCCTACAGAGCAGAAAGAAGAGGAGGAGCAGTGTCCATTAACATCTGGGGTATCGAGAGCCAGGGAGGGCCTCCTGGCAAATATATCAGAGGCCTTTGGATAATTCAGAGACATAAGATGCAGTGAGGCTTCCTGGAGTAAATAGGATTATTTTAGGTTATTCCAATAAAAGTCTTAATAATTTACACAAGTCATCATTCAAATGTATCACATTCTATCTTGAGGTGGCGAAGCCTGTTGTATGCTTTAAAATTTAATTTAAAACAAATCCCCAAAATGTTAATGCAACTCTTGGAGGAGAATCAACTTTTCAATTCACAGCCTGTGAACATTTTTAAAATGTTGCTGACGTTTAATATTGCCTTCTGCAAAACCCACAACTGGAATTTTTTTTTTAAAGATAGTGACGCGAGACCACTATAGCCATCTGATTAGACAAGCATAGAAATAGGGAGTAATGGCCACTGTAAAACAAAATCTACTGCCATAAAAGGAGCCACCTGCTGGACGAACAAACAGGTAATCCAAGATAGGAGTCTAAATCACTAAGATTCAACAAGAACACGAGTCAGCTCTCTTCAGACTCAAATACGACAAACCGTCGATCGCTGGTAAAACATCAGGGTTAGACCGGTGCCGCCCCCCACTCACACAGCGCACACAAGATTTTATGGTTGGGCTCGTCCCAGAATGGATCGATCCCAACGCCGGCAAAACCTCGCTCATCCCCACCGCTCACCGATCGGCACGAAGGGCGCATCTGCGCTCTTCTTGGCGAGCTTCGACATTTGGCCCTCTTCATAGTTGGCCGGAGTCCACGACATTGCTGCTGCTGCTGTTTCTGCATAGGACAGTGACACGACAGCGGGGGGTCAGATGAGGGTTCGTGTGCTAGATACGTTACCATTCCTGGCAGGCTTCCTGGGTGCGATCAACGTGTTGGTGGTGAGCAATCCAAGCGTGGTGTGTTCTTTGGACTTGGAAGCCAAAGGAAAAATGCAAATATAAAGCGATCTGCCAAGGTTTAATAGCCATGTGCAAACAAATCTTCAATGAGCTATTTTTTTGCATTAATGTTTAGCATCCACGTGCCCACCATTGCCCACTCAGCAGATAATGGCCCAAGATGGAGCCAGTGCCCTCGTGGTAATAGGCCCTGGTTATACTTTGTCTCAGGCTGTGCCACAGTTTCGCTCTCTACGTTTCCCTGCCCAGACCCCTCTCTTACACCATCATTTAGGCGGTTTTCTTCATGTTAGCAAATCATCTTGAGTTGTAATTGCATGGAGATGCCTTGTAATTTAAAATTGTTATTGATGTTGAAATGTCCCCTGTAGATTGTCAAAAGACCACTACAGATCAGTTATTCGGTAAAATGGTATCTGCAATCGGTTGCGAATGGAAGGCCTGAAATGATGCAGTCTCTCCCATCATCGCGTGATGGGTGTGCGGTTCACACTGGATGTGACCCACCACTGGTTGTGGCTGCCTCTGGCCTCAAGGTGGACGCATGGACAGTAGAAGCGGCAGTGTGCCGACTCACCGTGAGAAGTAGTATCCACGTAATTGTGTTTGCCGTCCCTGCCTCGGGTTACAACGGGCGAGGTTCGCAGGTGTGCACTTACTGAAGTGAATTATAGACATTAAACAGGGACAGACCAGTCTGTTGGGGTCTTTAGACGACAATAGATCGACCAGTTGACGGAAGTCTCAAGATAATAGACCAAAACATCGGTCTCTTGATAGGATCTGAAAAAAGAATAACACCTAAAAAATAGACTAACGCGCATGCCATTCATCCGATGAATGGATCGATTATTTTGGCCAACCCTCTCCGATTGCGCAATCACTTGTAACCTTGCAAAAACTCGCATGGTAACGCCAAACCCAGGGTCCCCCCCCCGCCCGGTGCGTGACGTCACGCGCACGCCAGCCAATCGCGCGCGGAGCACGTCCACACCTCCCCCCCTCCTCGCACATTCCCATATAAGGACTTTCGGGCGTGTTTTTCCGGAACACGTGGTTCCGGGCCGGCAAAGAGGGTCTTTTTGCTTGTCCATTGTCGGTGATTGTACCCGCGGTTTTCGGCACGAGCGTGCAGTTCCGAAGGGCTTTAAAAATAATATTAAGAGGGGCATTATACATTTAGAACACAAGGTCAAGTTAACCAAGGCATATAAAATGGGATTTGTCTCAATGGGCTCCCAAAATAGAAATTCAATCCGCTGCATATCCACTGCTAGATGAGAGCAGAGTCACACCGTGTCGACTGTGTGAGTTTACCATATGTGACCACGTTGGACAGCGTGCATTGATGAAGTGGAGGGAGGCATCCACTGATGTTAGCCGAAGTCGCATGGCTCTTTGCAGTGCAGTAACGACCCAAATGGGCTCTTATGGCAATAAAGTACACCTACTGCATGTTAGTGACACGACGGTAACGTTAACCATTAAAATCCTATTCTTGGGTCTTTCTACATGGCTTTACCGAAAGACCCAAGAATATGAATTCCTGCAGTCACGAAAGCTTTAAGTAACCATTAAAATCCTGTTGCCACATGTAAAATAAACGCTGCCTCTCAGTCTATAGGTCTTTACTCTTTGGTTGTATTCGGTAAAGTCACATAGGTAAAAAATAAAACAAAAATCACGACGTTTCGGCCACAACACAAGTGGCCGAAACGTTGTGATTTTTATTGTTTTATTTATTTTTAAAAATAAAACAACCAAAGAGTATGGATCCTTGCATACTCTTTGGATCCTTGCAGTCACGAAAGCTTCAAATCTATGGGTCTTCTAGTTGAACTTTTACAGCAGCACGTGTTTAAGCGGGGTCAATGTCAGATTTCTACTTCTCTGCAACTTAACAATCAGTCAGGTTAAATGCCGTTCAGTTAACCGAGTGTTATAGGTAGTGCTCTTTACATACGGTACAGGTGTATGTTTAGTACACTGTACTTGGAGCCTTAACATCCCCCCACTGAACTCAAAGACCCAAGGTGCCCCAAACTATACTCGCTGCGCAGAGACCAAATTACCTGGAATGCGCCCCGTCTCTTTGGATTGTAAAAGGTAAGCAGGCTTTAGACTGAACAGCGCTTGGGTGAACGTCTTGGGGGGGGGGGGAAATACTTGGTGGGCGTCTATGCTCGCCATATTAAACTCACGAGCGTAATGAATTAAGGCCCTCATCCAGCAGTGGATTGACAAAGCGATGTACATGTACGTAAATAATGCTGGAGTCCCGCAGAACTTCCACGTTCGTATGGCGAAACGATGCTCCCCGCCAGTCTCGTGTGTTTGCACGGTGTAGCCTAGTCACCTGGCGCTCGTTTCATGGGAGTTAATCACCCCAGGGCGGATGCCAATTTAACTTTGTACTATTTAAAGTATGCGTCTGTTTGACTCAACCAAATGAGTCATTGAAATCAAAAAGATGTAATCTCTCGATGTTACACTGTATTACTGATAGGGTTTGGGCAATGTGTTTTTTGTGTTGTGCTTTGTAGGGGATAATTGCTCATTTCTGTGTGCATGTCTTAAGTTGGGCTTAATTTTATCACGAAACATTTACTGGGTTGCCGTTAAGACAATAAGATGCGAATAGTAACCATGCAAAAGGAATCTACGATACTGGATGTGGTGTGCTGGTTGCAAAATATTTTCCGGGTAATTGGGCTGGAAAATCGAGTCCTGGATTACATCTGTGCTTGAACGATTGTAGAAAACACCTAATGACCTTTAGAATCTACATTATATAAATCATAATCTACTGGTCTATTTAAACAAAGTGGTAGACCACGGAGACAATTCCCCTTTATAAAAAGGGTGTCATAAATAAAACCATAAAACCAATAAAACCAGCTCCTGACAATTTCCATATTTCAGTTTGCTCTACTATTAATGTATACGGCAAGGCCTTTGTTCAGCAGAGAATCAAACTATGGCTGATGATGAATAAAGTTGGGCGTTTAGTTTTATGGGTCGTATACTTGAACATAAATTCCCAAGCTAGAAATTGCATGACTATTTCCTAATTCCTTACCTGCTTCTGTCGTCAACCCATTTTTAAAGAGATAAATGTACATCGGCTTAAAACGCAACAAGTTTTACCAAAAGGTTTTCAAAAGAAAACTAACCAAAATGTTGTCGGGCTAAAGACTAAGTAAAACGTGGAAAAAGCAAACTAACGTTGATAAAGGTAAAAAATAAAGTTCAGAGATATATAAAAAATATATATATAATGGCCATCAAGTAGGTTGCACAAAGCCAGTTTTTAATTCCCCACATTGATAAATTATTATAAACCTGGTTTAACAATATTGGTCGAGTCTACACCTTTGCAGTAACCCACAATATTTCCGTGTGAAAATGGCAAAACATTTTCATTATTGAAGCAGTGTTTGGCCGTACCCTGGGTTTTGCATCTTAAGACGTGACGTCACTCTTGGCAAGGGCTGGTGGTGGGTGTCTTCGTGCCGTGCAACTCATGCCGAGTGTGGAGAATGCGGCTTTAGTGGAAACTGCACAGTCACACTGAGTTGACTCTTTAACAAAGGGGGGGGGGGACCCCCATTTTCTGCCTCCTATTATACTTCCTTGGCGGAGGGGTGGGGGACCTCACCTCCAAATGCACATAACCACTGGTTATGCACATCAAGGTTAAATTACACGGTCCAGAGATCGTGCATGGCCATCGTGGTGCATGGTCATCATAGACCGACCCCTGCCATGGGAATGTGGAATATTTTTAAAGACTTAAGGCGGCTTATGAAAGGATCGGATGCTCATTTGTGCAGGAAGACACCTGACGTTATTAATAATGCAGTGCAGTCCGTGGTGTAATACAATCTCAATACAAAACAATAGTGCAATAATGTACTTAAAACAGTCTACAGTAGTAGTAGTTTAAGAATCTCACAAGCTTTAAATTGCTCCACATTTATACCCCGTTTCCAAACGTGTAAACACTGGAATTTGCACCTAAAAACCTGTAGCAGTAAAACAGCGTTTTCAAATTCACGAACATTTTAATATTTAGCCAGTGTAATTATGCTCGTGTATCTGCAACAGTACAGTCGTTGATATTTTGTAATGACGAAGTGTAAATTGCTTATTCGCTGCAGAGTTTTTCACTCGCAAAACATTGAAAAATCGTGCCGTGTTCACTGTAAAATAAAATTTTCTCCAACATTTGAAAGTGAGCTGGAGGGAGGCATAGAAGTCGGGATGGATGCAGCAAGGCATGGATGGGGTAGGGAATTAGAGGTGGAGGGGAGGGAGGCATGAATGGACTATGCAGAGGGATCGAGTAGAGGAGTGAGGGGCGGTTGGAAACAAGAATACAGAACAAAGTTTGGAGCCATGCTGTAGAGACTGTAGCGATGGATGAAGAGGAAGGCAATGAGTGAGGGGAGTGAAGGATGCAGAGACAACTGGAAGAAACGGTGTAGAGAGGGGCAAGTAGGGATGGAGGAATTCAGAGATTAATACATGGGGGGGAGAAAGGATACACTGGCGGCAACAAGGAGTGCAGGCTAGGATAGAGGATCTCGAACAAGGTCGGTTGTACATCAACCCTCGCCGACTTTAACCCAGGCCCATGAACTCCAAAGTTTCATAGAAAAAACCAGAGCCATGGTGAACCGCTGTGATCTGACATGTCTCATAGACAGCGCATATCACAGAGCGGGACACTGCTGCTAAATTTGGCCAACAGAACTGAACGTCATATACTGTAGACTGAAGGTCAAGATTTTGACCTTTCCCAAAACCATAATGAATGACACGTTCTTCGTCGTATAACATTTTGTATGTAGTATGTCATTAGTTCCTTCCTGAAAAAGCCGGCTCTTCCAATGGCCTCTCATTTCGTTTAAAGTGCACACAGTTTCATACCGTTCGACCTATTACTAACACAATATCAACAACCGCCTGATCTATATGAATGATAGGCATTCACCGTGGAAAGATAAGGTCTCATGGAGGTCACATTTTGAGCAAAATATTTCATCGGAGCATTTCCTGTGTGCTACAGACATGTATCCTGGACCCGAGATTTTGGGTGCCTCTAATACCAAGGTGAGCAGCGTTTATTACTCTTAGAAATGCAGTAGGTCATCGGTTACATAGAAGTCCAAATAATACATTCCTTTAACAAATAAGGCATAAAGTGCTGTAAGTACATGCTATTCATCAATATCAACGATTTACTTTTTGTTTATAGCCATACTGGACAAGCCATCACACTATATAAATGGGGATGCAGCGGTGGTGCAGTGGTTAGCACACTGGTAACACGGGTTAGATACCCAGCTACAGCTAACATCAGTGGCGAGTGATACCTGCACTGGTCCAAGGCCCACCCCCCCCCCAGCACGAACGTGGTGAAGTAGGGTCAAAACATTCCCATGACCGAGACGCTACGTGGCGAGGCCTTCATCCAGCAGTGGATTGTAATTGAGTGATACTTATGTTACACGTCCTATATAATCCGACAGCCAAAGTTACCCATTCTAACCCCTCATCTCAAATGTCCTGAACCAGATGGACTTTCCATGTTCCTATGCCGGGACCCAGTATTATAAAACAGCCACTAAACTTCCTTCCCACCAATTAGTACAAGGATGACGATCATAAATGTCGCTCAAGATGATCGGGTTAAGTTTGACGAAGGATAGAACTCGTCACCTCATGTGATTTAACCACCGATAGTGGCATTGAAAGTAGTTTAACGGGGTCGGCCTAAGCGGGGCAGCGATTTGGTTAAGGACTTTTGACCTCTCGCAACTTATAACAATATTATCCACTATATACGTATGTACTTACATTCACACTTTGCACACTATGATCAAAC